GGGGGTGTGTGCCTGAAGAGGGCAGAGTTTGGGGAGGGGAGGGACTTCAGTGGAGTATAATGCCATAGTAGAGCCCACCTTCCGAAGTGGCCATTTTCTCCAGGTGAACTGATCTGTTGCCTGGAGATCAGTTGTAATAGCAGGTTCAGCACACAACTTGGCTATGAAAACTGCCTGAGAATGTAGGCCAGTTGCTATTTCCCAGCCTAACCTACCTCACAGGATTGTTGGGGGAGAGAACCATGTATGTTACTCTGAGCAACTGGAGACCTGTGAGAAATGCCTATGAGTGAAGGTGATGTGGCAGAGATTAAAAGGTTAATTCCCCACTTCTTTCTCTAAATGCCTTTGAGAGTCCTTCTGCCACCCCACCCATCAAATCCAGTTCTGGACACAACCTTTAAGTAGTCCAATGCTATTTTGAAAGTACAGACCTCTGTCTCTTACTCATATCCACCTTTTGGAAGTAATTGGGCTCAGTCATGAAATGTCCCATGACTCCAGAGGAATTTTTACCTTGTTTTATTCCTGGTGTGGCTTCAGGAGTGAATAGTTCACAGAAATGACCAGATACGTGGAAACTATTACTGAGGTGCTGCCCACTCCTGATCTAATATTGTGCTTTATTTATTTGACAAGTTAGAGGATAATTTTTGACATCTGTTTAGGGGGGAAATGATGGTTAGTTACACTTTCTTGTGATGAAGCCCTGGAGCAGAAGAATGTTGGGGACTAAAGCACAAGCTGATGGTTTGGTTTGTACCGAGGCACTGGAATGGTAGGATATGGTTACACTTGTTCTCTGAACAAAGAGCAGTCATTCAGTCTAGCAACAACTTCAGCAGGTGAAGTACTGTACTCATCTTCTTCAGTGCACTGGGTAAACTCCCCTTGTTTGCTTTTCATCTACCCCTGTGTAGATGAAATCCTCTTATATTGGTGGAGCTGCTGCTGTTTGAGAGAGTGAGAAGGGAAGAAACAAACAGGGAAACAAATAGACAACCAAAACAAATCTGGGCTGTCACAGCGCTGCTGAACTGACTCTGGCAGATCTGAGGTTGTGAGCCATGGTCCAAAGGACCAAGAATTTTTTGTCTGGTGCCTCTGTCCCCACCCAGGCTAAATACCATGGCAAAATAGACATGGAATACTCTTTGCAGGCTTTCTTGACAGTTACGCAGCCCAAATCATATCAGCTATGCCACTAGGGATTCTTCATGCCAGTGTCGTTCCGTAGATTCCGTACATGCAAATGTGAACTACCCCTCAAAGATTGGTGCCTTCCTGCAATAACAAGAGTGATGCTGTCCAGGGAAACTGTTGTCCAGCAGTTATAGCACATCATGGTTGTCTGGTAGCAGGTATAAACATATGAGGAACCTTGTTGTAACCTGGAGTCCGTGATGGGTAAAGCCACATGGCATCCATCCAGGTAAAGGAATAGACTACTGAGCAGCAAACTCCCCATAACCAGAGAACTACCTCGTAAACTATATTCTGACAGGTAATTATTCTGTTGCTCCAGATCAGATATCTGAAGAAGCTTTTGAGTGTTATGACAGAAAGTGGTCTAGAAATATTTTAAATAAATAAAGCAAGAGAACAATAAAATATGTTTGCGACTTGGCAAGCAGCCAGAGGATCACTTTATTCTTCTTCTACTTCCCCAGATCTCTTATCTGGGATGCAAGTGAAGTGACATGGTCTGTATTACCTTGCAAAACAGTGAAGACCATCTTGCCATATATCTGCTCTCAATATGTGGTAAAGTCACCATTTGGAGAAATAATTCTGAACACTCAAGTTGCCAATGGTTGGCAGATTCAGCATGTCGTAGTTTACTTGTGTCTCTGGCCTTGGCTGATCAGTTTACCAAATACGTGCATGCACACGGTGGCATGTTAAAATGGTAGGCTGTATTCATCTTATGATTTGGAAGAATGTGAGATCTGTACCTGTGAGGAAAAATGAATGGAAATGGCAACTGGCATTCTGACCTCTTCTGTGCTTCCGTCTGAGTAAAACAGATCCATCTAACTTTGCAGATGCTTGTAGGATAGGATTAACTTTGTACCCATTAATGAGTTTCTTTTTGATCTGTGTGATTAGAATAGGTTCATTTGTGTGTAGTGGCCAGGTTTGTTAGAAGTCAAACATGTCTTGAAGTGCTGTATAAATAATGAGAAGTAGTGGAAGAGGCTAAAGTCTCCTTACTACTTTTTCCAGGTAACCCAGAGAAAATGATTAGCACATTCTCCTCTTTATAAACTGATTGTGTGTTTGGAAATTATCTCATTCTTGGTAAATAAGAGCACAATGTTAATACGTTTAACACAAAGCAGCAGCATTAATGGCTGATTAATCCTGTTGACACCCAGTCCTGGTTATTAAAATGAGGGCCACGGATAATTGCCTTTTGAAGAGACTGGCAAGTCATCTCAAGTGGCCATGAGAGAGCCATTGTCTGCTGCTCTGAATCTTTACAGAGTGTAGAAAATGTAGCTTCTCTTTCTCTTTTTTGCTGTGATTTCTAGTTTCTAAATGAATTTGATTAGGGAGGATCATCTTTATTTGGGGGAGTTATTGTAGTCTAACAACGCCTTTTTTTTACATTTTGTGAAGTATTTACAAGCCCCCTGAAGGAACAACAGGTTGACTGACGTGGATTACAAAGAACTGTAACATATTAAGATTTAGCCTGTCAGCTGCTGCTTTTGCAGTGTCTGAGACATCTGTGGTTAGGTAGCTGGAAAGATTATAGTCTGTTCAGATACTCGAGACTTTTTGTTTTGCTTCATTTAGAAAGTATGCAGATTATTTCAAATGCTCTGCCTGTAAGGAATGTAAAATAGTGGAGCTGTCTCTGTATGAGCTTTAATACCTCTTGTTGGGTGAGTGTTGCCAGCTTTAGTTTGCAGTTCCATTCAAACATGCTATTGTTCAGAGGGAAAATAATTTCTATAGAATAAATGTTGGCATGTTTACTAGGAGCACACGGAATACAGTGCCATAATTGAAACAGCATTCTGATCTTTTTGGGGTAAGGGGTGGAATCGGTTGTTCGTGCTGGCAAACGTCAGGTATTTGGAGAAATTCTTATATGTAGAATGAGGCCACCATCAGATTTGATACTGTTGGGCATTTGCTGAGGTTCATGCTCTGGTAGAGGGCCTAGTGTCTGTCCGAGACCCACCTTCTGCTATCAGAAATAGATGCACCAGTCCCTCTAGTGCTCTTTCCAACAGGAAATGGGAACTCTCCCTACAACCCCCTGTAATATGATGGGTGCCTCTGGGGTAATTTCCAACTTCTTGTGATGGGAAGGTAGTAGAACACAACTCTTGCAGGCTCTTCTCAGTTCCATCAGTTGCCAAGAGAGCATGAGAGAATAGTATTCTGGTGCCCACACATGAAGATGACTTAAACTCTTAGCCTTGCCACAGGTGCTTAAAAGGATATGAGAACTGTGCTGTGCTTCCTTATCCAGAAGACCGCATATGTACAAAGGAGCAGCACATTTAGCTGGGTGGGCACTTGAAGCCATCAAAACCTGGAGCTTGCCCTGCACAAAAACCATCACTTAATATTGCCCTGCAACAGAAGCAACAAAGATGGGTCTCATCCTCCAAAAACTTCATATACCCCCAGAAGACATAATATACCCCTAGAAGAGCATTACATTCAGCAGATAACTTATTGTGGTCCCCGGCCCATGAGATATCTGGCTGTCCTCAACTAGAGCCAGGGCATTTTCTACCCTGGCTTCAACCTGGTGGAACTCTGCTGAATAACATCTGTGCCATGCAGGACATGATGCAGTTCTGCAAGGCCTGTAAGGCAAAGCTGTTCTGCCAGGCATTTGGTTGTGGATAACGACAGTTCCATATTTCTGGCACTCCTACTCCTTGCCTCCCCATGAGGCAGTGGCACAACTGGAATTTTTAGCATCATCCGTTAAGTTGATTGTTGTGTTTTTACTGTTTTTAACTGCTTTTACTTACGTATTATATTAATTTACTCCATGCTGTACACTACCCTGAGCCCTGTTCTTACAAGGAAGGGTGGTTAAAAATCCAATTTGATAAATAATTAATAATAAATTAATAACCTCTAAAGCAAGATGGCAAAAGGTGGGAAAGAAGGAGGGTGAGAGAAGTAACAGTTATATGGGATGAATCCATGTCCTTAGACCGGTGTGGTTCAGCATAAAGAACTGGGAGCTGAAGTTAGTTCGGTTTAGTTCAGTTCTAGGCCAGTGTCGATAACACACAAATGAAACATCATAGATCTTGGACAATAAACAAAAAATACCATCTTGCAGGGCTATTTTGGGGCAGGAACGCACAGGAACGGAGTTCCGGCTGGCTCCCGAGTTGGCCACGCCCAGCAGGAACTCATTAGCATAACAGGCCACACCCAACAGCAGAAACTCATTAGGACTGGCTACATTAGGGGTGTGTGGCCTAACATGCAAAGGAGTTCCTGCTATTAAAAAGCCATAAACAGAATAAGAAGAAAAAGGTGAATGTGTCTGGATGACGACACTTCTGCGAACATGGGGTGTGTGGCTTAATATGCTAATGAGCTGTGCTTTCAGGGGTGTGTCCTAATAAACAAATGAATTTCTGCTGTTGGGTGTGGCCTGTTATGCTAATGAGTTCCTGCTGGGCTTTTTCTACAAAAAAAAGCCCTGCCATCTTGTATAGACTTGACCCTTTTTAATATTGATTGATTGGATTTTTTTATCCCGCCCTTACCTGCACACAGGGCTCAGAGCAGCTCACAACATATTAAAAATACAAATTGCACAAAGGGGCTGGAGTTGAGATTTTGGGGAGGCGTTTAGTCCATTTTAAATGTAGCTTTGCAGTAACACTATCAATAAATTCAAAATAAGGTTTGTTTCCTTTTTGTGTGTGTGTGTGCTTGATGCATTCCCTTATTTGTTTTGTATGTTTAGAGATTCCAGTAAGATTAATAAAACATTGTTTTCTTTGCAGTTACAGGGATCCATTAAGAGAAAGCTGGAAGATGGCAGTTCCCCAGCCTCCCAAACCATGCCTGATGTCATTTTCTCAAGCGACAACAAGAGACTCTGCCTTGATGATGTCACTCTTTCAATGGGACAAGCAGCCAATCCCGTTTCCTGTCCAGATATGCAGCAGTCACCCTTCTCCACCAATCATGGTGCATCCTCTATAGGAGTGCCAGGTCATGCCATGCTGTTGGAAAATAGTCATATGAATGGTAGCAGTATAGGGTCTCCGTTTTCAGTGCCACCTAACACTGAAGTAGGGCAGAAGGGATCCCTCAGTAGCCAAAATAATATGGGCCATTATGATGAGAAAGGCAGCAACTTACAATCTGTAGACCAGGAACTGCAAGACTTGTTAGAAGAACTGACTAAAATGCCTGAACCTTCTCCCAATGAACTGGACCTCGAGAAGATCTTGGGAAGCAAACCTGAGGAGCCTCTTGGAAGTCTTGGCCACACACAGCCAACCATCAACAACACTCCAAAGTCCTCTTCCCAGACACCGCACTTGGAGAACCATGTGCCCAGCAAAGAGTTTTCTCCAGGGTGTAACCCTCAAAGTGGAGGGTCACCCCAAATGAGACCCTCCTCAGCGGGAGGGATCTATCCAGTTCCACCCCAAAACAAACCTGTTGCACCACCCATTTCATCAGCTGCACCAAGTAAGAACCAGGCTCAGTCTATGCTCTCGGTACATGTATCCAACATGACTAGCTCTAATTGGCATGCACAGCAACTAAAACAACTGGCAGCAAGCAAACAGGTCCCTGCTACCAAGCATCAAGCTCCTAACTGGTCTAATATATCATCCCAAGGCCTCTCTCCCCCTTATCGGCAAGGATCTTCCCCTCACCATCAGCCATTCAGTCCTCAAAATGTCATGGTGTCTAGCATGAGTTCTAATGGCCTGCCAGGAAACAACATTCAAAGTCCTCAGAGCTCCTTGCTTTCGAGCATAACGTCCAACAGCAATCCATCCAGTGGCCCATCTCCTCCTTTTGGTTCTGAGAAGCTTTCCAGTCCTGTTCTCAACCAGCAACCTTTCAGCCCTCCAAATCCCATCCTTTCCAACATGTCTGCCACCAGCATTCCGACCAACAGCATCAAAAGCCCACAGAACAACTTGGTGTCTACAAATACTGGGCCCTCCCCACCATACAGGCCAGAAAAGCTTTCAAGCCCTGCTCTGCACCAGCCCCCATATAGCCCTCAGAGTACCTTGATTCCAAACATAGCCCCTACCAACAATCCCACCAGCATGCAGAGCTCTCTCTTCAAACCGATGGCAGCTCAGTCCAAAAACATGAACCTTATCATGCAGCAGTCCTCCAGTGGCTTGCAGCCAGGCTTGGTAACCGAAGGGCCTGTTGGGCAAGACCAGTTTTCATTCAATAACACAAAGCCACTGTCCCATTTCACGTCGGAATCCACTGCTCCTCAGAAGATGTCACCCATGACTTCAGGCCCTGGGCAGCAATCGCTCATTCACTATCTCCAGCAGCAGCAGCAGCAGCAGCAGCAGCAGCAGCAGCAGCAAGTAGCCACTTCACAGCAGTCCCAGCAAGTCAATAACAGCCCGTTTATTCAGCAGCAGCTGCGGCAGCTAATGCAGCCTTCTCGGATGCAGCGGCACGTGCAGCCATCTCAAACCCGACAGGTAAGAAGAACTTTTCTTCTGCCATATAAGTGCTTTTGGTTCTTTGGTCATGCGCCATTTGTCCGTAACTGTACACGAGACTCCTGATCAAACAAACCTCTTTCTAACCAACATGATATAGTATTGGACTTGGATGCAGGAGATCCAGGTTCAAAGTCTCCATGCTGCCATGGAAACTTGCTGGGTGATGCTGGGCCAGTCTTTCTATTGTTCTCTGACGAGACAGTGATATACACCATCCTGAGCTTCTTGGTGGAAAGCTGGGATAAACATGTGCCAAATAAATATCTGGTACATGAGAGGGGATCAACATTTAGACTGGAACCAAGTGGCAGTGGGTGTCAAAATATGCAGGGGGTTTGTTTGGGGACGGGTGGGTAGGTCAGTCGCTATTTTCATTCAGCCTTTCATTAAAATTAAAATTGGGCAATCGTCTTTCCATGATACATCTTGGTGACAAACAAGAACACAGAAAAAGCAAAAAGCTGAAGATAAGAGCAATAAAACCAACAGCAAGACTGTAGCACAATCGTTCTTCCCCTTGTTTTCAGAAAATGCTGGGGAGGGGAGGGAGACTTTCATGATCTGCCCAAAATATAGCAGGCATCTTCATTTAGCATGACTTGGGGAAAGCATTCCACAATTGTGGCACTTTCACTGGTCAGGCCTGGCCCTCAACAATACCAAGCTCCAGTTTCTTGAGGAGAAGGGGCCCGAAATAGCCTCCCTGAGCCTCTCGGGGAGAGTGATATGGACCCTGAAGTCTTTTCTGGATCTTTAGCCTTGTGGTTGAGCATGTGAGAACCTCTGTGTGTAAGAAAGAAACAGTTTGTGTTTTGGCAAAGAAGGGACATGGGTCTGTGGCTTTCCCTGAATTTTCTATGGTAGAGTTCAAGCTAGAGTTGCCAACCTCCAGGTGGGACTTGGAGGTCTCCTGCTTTGACAACTGATCTCCAGATGACAGGGATCAGTTCCCCCGGAGAAAACAGAAGCTTCAGAGGGTAGATTCTATGGCATTATACCCCGCAGAAGTCCCCCCCTCCCTAAACCCTTTCCTTCACAGGCTCCACCCCCCCAATCTACAGGTATTTCCCAATCCAGAGTTGGCAACCCTAAGTCAATCCCTGATTTCACATTGAGCGGCCTTAACATCAGCATAAGCTGTGAAGTGAAGCCAAGTTGCTGAAAATGGTTTGTGTTGCAACAAGCAGATCTTGAAATACTTGTTGCAACCCTTCTCCCAGAATGACTTGCTTTTGACAAGCAGCGATCTGGTTACAAAACAGCCAGTTGCCACAGGCAGGTTAGCTTCGGAGAGCATCGTACAAGGAGCTCTCTCGTGACCAGGTGATGAGGAAGGAGCTCTTCAGAGCAGCCCTCAAGCAGAGCTGGTGTCTGCTCTGAGCTGCTTGTGAGAAAGAAATGGGAATCTTGTGAGAGAAACGCTGGTATTTTTGTTTTTTTTGGGGGGAACAAACCAGTTTTACCTTCACTGCAGTTTTACCTTCAGACATTTCCAAATTCAGCTCCTGCTAGGAGAGCTGTAAAATCTCTTTCCAGGGCCAAGGGGCAGTAGTAGGGCTACCAAACAGGTCTAGCAGGGAGATAAGCTCTGATATATATATATATAAGCTATATATCGAGTACACCTGAAACTAGAGAAATGGTCATTATTTAAACGTGTGTAGGGTATATGCTTTCTGTTTCATAGGCACCTGTGGAGTGCTCTGAGACAGGGCCGGCATTGGCGTAGGCTGAGCTGGGGCATCTGCCAGGGCCCACTGCCATCGTCCCCTGCTTGTGACCCTTCCTCTGCCCATGAGCTTGCTTGTAAGCACTCTCCCTCCTGTGCCCCTGGCTGCCCTCCAGGTTAGAGTGTGCTGGTGGTGTGAGCTCCTGATGGTCACAGCGATAGCATTCCAAGCCACACACAATGCCCAGTGCTGTTGAGGAAAGGGCAGGTGGCTGTGAGTGTGGGCTGGTAGGAGGGGTCATGAGCAGGCAAGGGGAGGGTACACCGGCAGGTGGGAGCAGGAGGGGAGATGTGAGTGGGGGTTCTGGTGATGGGGGGGCAATGAGCACTCTCTATCCAGGACCCCCAAAGCCCTGGAATCAGCCATGCTCTGAGATGGGGGGGGAGGTTCCCTCTGACAAAGTAAGCAGTCTATCTCTGACCTTTCAGGCACCTACACCTAGCTGGCTATGGTCCCTCATCCTCTACACAGAAAGTAATGGCTGTGCACTGTCCACAGATATTAAGGTGCAATGCTCTTGTGTGAAAAACCTGGATTCATATGGCACCATTGCTCACCCAGGCTCTAAGCCCTGTAATGTGTGTTCAGTGTCAAGGTTGACATTTGGGACAGCGAAGGCAGTGTTAAAAAGAAAACACCCTTCAATGTGTCTTTCTGACGCCCATAAATCTTCATACACACTACAGGGAGGGGCATGCCAGTGTACTTGACTTCCGACCATTTGGATTTTAGAAATAAAGCACCTATTCTATTCAGGTCTGTCTTTTCCCCCCCCTTGGGCTGCTTTCCCCTGTTTCTAAGGATGTGTCTGAAATTACCCACCTGGGAGCGCACGGGAATCTCCTGTACTGATGAGCCGTAAGAATTCACGTCTGTTGTGACAATAACTGTGAGCAAAGAAAATTTCACATTTTCAAATTGGTTAGGTAAGCTCATGATGCCTGACTGGTTTTACTAGGAGAGACTTAGAACATTAATTATGTACTAAACGACAGCTCTGTTCTGGATTTTATATAGCTTGTTAAGCTGCCTCTGAATAACAAGTGAGTAGAGGATCAGGGCATTTCTTTTTATGAGCTTAATGGCTTTTATCACAAACCGTGGATTCTGACTGCAAACCTGCACACAGCCCGTAGAGACATAAATGGATTATTGCAATTCTAGTATTGCTCATCAAGGTTTTTTTCCTTTTTTCATTGTGGTATTTCTGTTTCTATTGAGCTGAGGATGGAAGCGTCAATTGATTATTCTGTGCTATTAATCAGCTAATTAATCACATTGATGTGGATTTTTAATAGCGTTTTAAGAAGAATCCGTACTGCAGTTGTGCTTGGAGTGGACAACATTTGCAGAAAATTGTCAGATTCTGACAATGAGGCTTAGGTGGATAACAATAAATGATTTGTCTGTTTTGTTAATCCAAGAAAATGGGTGTCTTCATTAAATATCCAACTATTTATATTGATTATAGTAATCCAATTCACAGTTTGGTAGCCGGACAGGGATTCTGGCTTTTTAGATGAAGTATCTTCATAGCTAGATTGCCTTTATAGCCATTTCCAAGCCCTCAAAACTCACAAAGAGGTTAAGAACTTTAAAAGTGTGTACTGAATTCCTGAACTGTGAGGTTCAAGTGCATGGCAAGGTCTTCTTGCATAATGTGAGCATGTAAAATCATCACTGAGTAGGTGAAGTAGAGAAACTTCGGAAAATCCTCATTTAACTAATCCTGACTCATGGAGCAGGAGAGAACGAAAAATTTGGTCTCTGCTCATTTGCATAAATGTTGTCGAAACAGTACAAAACTACTTCACATCAATGGGTATCTCATGGTATTTATGTTCTTGACATTATTGGTGCAACAGCTTAGTGCAAAATAATTTAACTTCTGTCTGTTACTTCCATGTTGCAGGTGACAGTTGTGTATAGATGGAAGTATGCAAATCACCCCTCCCCAAGTACAGCATATGAGATACTTTTTAGAATAGCCCTAGAATACAGATGTGGAGGTTTCTTGGAATTCCGTCAAAAATAAATTACACTTTAGAAAAAATAGCCTTCAATCTCCCCAGACCTCAGCAGCCCCCAATAACCCCCAATATGAGCTTTTTTCTAACTTGTCTTACCACATAGGGGCTTGGTATCTAACAGGCTGAAAAGAGGTATGAAATGTCCTCACCTGTGTAATGCATCTCCTTAGCCTCATGCCTCACTAAACAACCATCAAGTAGTCCAAATGTTGCCCTACCATGTATATAGGGCTTATCTGTATGTTCATCATCATGGATCCCGTGATTTTGACAAGACAGAGTGAATAAATGAGTGTGTGAATAACCACTTCCCTGTAAGTGAAAAGAAGGTGTCCCAGGGGAAGATATGTTGGGCTCCAAAACAGGCTTAGGGAAAAGTCTAGGTGCCTGATGGAGAGAGTCTGAAGATCTGTAGGCCCCAAAACATACATAACTATGTTGGTCCATAGCAGAAACACAAGCCGCAGAATATATTTTACTAAGACCAACTGATACAATGCCACACGGCAAGTTTTTGAACTTTCCTGAATTTTTCACCCAGCTTAAAGGTTTAAAAAGGTGGAACTTTCAAGCCATGATCTCAGGGCCACTTTGTCTGTATCATCTATAGGATGATTTGACAGATTCAGTGGGTCCAGTTGTGGCCAGCTGGTATCAGGTTGTGCCTTTGGCATGCTGGGAACAAGAGACAAACAAAAAGAAGCTCTTCAACTGAAAAATATAATGGCCAAGAGTTGATCAAATGTCTCTTTGATGCCAAACACAGCACATGAGTCCCTTAAATGCTCAGTAGGGAACCATTGGTTCCTCCCCCCCCCCCAGTTGTTTTCATGGCCTACAACTTGCGGGGGGGGCAACGAGATTGCACTGTACTTGTTCAGGGGGAGGATTCTGAGGATGAGGAATGGCATGCAGCGACTATGCGCAGGCATGACAAGGAGTGAAATGGCCAGTGGGATGGGGTGTGGGAAGAGAGGTCGAGTGAGATGTGAGTAAAATATAATCCAAGTGAATTATACTGTTGTTTGAATATCTAACTTGAACTGGGAGGAAAAACAGAACACTTGAAATGTGGAATTTGCCTTTCTGAACATGGGCAGGGGAATAAGTTAAGTTGACAGTGTTGGGAACAGAGAAGGTATATATGAGGATGTACACATAAAAATAACAGCAGGGAAGATTGCTCAGAGTTTGGGAAGATGAAGGTGAAAAGAAG